GACGAGGACGAAGACGATGATGACGATGATGCAGATTAGGATGATGATGGTGTCGGAGGTTGGGGGGTGAGATCGAAGTGGAACGGAGAGCCCCCCTACCGGGAAATCGATTTCGGTTTCGTGTTCGTGCGTGCCGTGCGGGCGAGGCGAAGCTGCGTGGGCGGGCGAGAGGAAAGCCTCCTGTGGCTGAGGCGCGGCCGGACCAAATGATTTTCCGCCGGGCGGCCGGTGGCGCGCGGTGTCCCGCCGGTGTCCCGCCGGTGTCCCGTCGGTGTCCCGTCGGTGTCCCGATGATGATGATGATGATGATGATGATGATGATGATGATGATGTTGATGATGATGATGATGATGATGTAATGATGATGATGATGATGATGATGATGATGATGATGATGATGATGATGATGATGATGATGATGATGATGATGATGATGATGATGATGATGATGATGATGATGATGATGTTGATGTTTATGATGATGATGATGATGATGATGATGATGACGTCGATAGTGATATCGATTGTGAGATCGGTAGTGGGACCGAATGAGACAGCGAATGAGGTCTTCTCTCAGCAGGCCTCCGACAAAAAAAACTCCACTGGCATCGTCAGGAGAACAATCACCACTGTTGCCCATTGCTCGGCCCCTCCACCCCCCCCAACCTCCTTATCACCCGTAGGGTGGTCGTATAGGTATATGATGCTGTCAATGGTGATGTTGATGTTGATGATGATGATGGTGATGATGCTGCTGCTGCTGATGATGATGATGATAATGATGATGATGATGATGATGATGATGATGATGATGATGATGATGATGATGATGATGATGATGATGGTGATGCTGGTGATGCTGATGCTGATCACGATGATGATGCTACTGCTGCTGCTGCTGATGATGATGATGATAATGCTGCTGCTGCTGATGATGATGATAAGGATGCAGGAGCAGTAGCAGGATGAAGAGGACGGCCGTCGCATGTGAGATTTTGCGCCCTCTCCCTTGGAACTTATTTCGGCCGTCTTAGAGGCAGTCTTGGGGGTCCCTGGGTGCCGTCTTGGGGTCCTCTTGGGCCGTTTTGGGGTTCTCTTGGGCCGTCGTGGAGCCCTCTTTGCCGTATGGGGGGTGTCTGGGGACAGTCGTGGCGCCGTGTTGGCGCCGTCTTGGCAGTCGAAGGGCCTTCTACGGCTGTCTTTGGTTTCTCGGGAGGCCCTCTTGGACCGTCTTTGATTGATACCACTTGACCATCATGGGGTCCTCTTGAGCCATCTTGGGGCCCTCCAGGGTGGAATCGTCTTTGCCGCTTGGAGCTGACGGAAGCCCGAGAAGGTAAGAAAGCGAACGTCATAGCCATTTCATTGGGAGTCCATGATTGTGGTTCCGTCGGACCGAGGTCCTCTTGTGGCTCTTTTCGGCTTTCTTGGAGGCATCTTGGGCCGTCTTGAGGCCATATCGGGTCGCCTTGGGGACATCTCGGGGAGTTTTCGAGGCATCTTGGGCCATCTTGGTTGGTGTCCTTGGTTGCCTTCATGGGCCGTCTTGAAAGCTCGGGAGAGCATGTCCATGGTTCCCTACCCAGGCTCTGCCTAGAAGTGTTCTTACTTTATAAGCTTAAGGGCCGTGCAGTGTTCCTCGCCCCGGGCGGTTCCCCCGGCATCCGCCCCGCGGTTCCCCCAGTGCCGGTCCCTTAGCTTAGCGTTGCTTATCTCATCTTAGCTTAGCTTATTTCATCTTAGCTTAGCTTAGCTTCATATTAGCTCAGGTTTATCTTAGCTTAGCTTACCTTCAGCTTAGCTTCGCCGAGCTTTAGCATAGCAGAGCACAACATAGCATAGCAGAGCGTAGCACAGCGCAGCGCAGCACAGCATATCATAGCAACGCCCAGCATAGCACAGCATAGCGCAGCATAGCATAGCATGGCATAGCATAGCATAGCATAGCGCAGCACATCACAGCACAGCATCGCACCGCGCAGCATAGCATAGCATAGCAGAGCATCGCATAGCATAGCACAGCAGCAAAGCAAAGTCAAATCAACAGCAGCGACAGCAAAGCAAAGCACAAGCAATCCACATCATAGCATAGCATAACATAGCAGAGCAGAGCAGAGCATATCATAGCATAGCATAGCGCAGCTTAGCATATCATAGCATAGCTTAGCATAGCACAGCGCAGCATGACTCAGCATAGCATAGCTTAGCATATCATATCATATCACATTATATCATAGCATAGCATAACATAGCGCAGCATAGCATAGTATAGTATAGTATAGCATAGCATAGCATAGCGCAGCATAGCATGTCATAGCATAGCATAGCATAGCATGGCAACTAATGCTGCTTTCCTAGGGGCTCCAACTTCTAGGTAGGGTCGCACTGGGGTACTTTTTCCCGAGGGAAAGTGGCCTCCTGAGGGAGGGGCGGTGCACGCGGGGGGATGTGGCTAGAGAGGGGGGGGGCCTCCCTCGATTACAGAAGCCGTACAAGGCAGCACTTGACATTCTATCACGTCTCAACGTGCCAGGGGGCACGGTGGAGGTTTACTCAATAATCGCACTCTCGCATCAGATGTCGTAGCAATTCACTCCGAAGCCTACCTCTGGCTCGAGACTTTCTTGCGATGTATTCAGGAATCTGGTTTTCGTTCGAGTATTAGTTTTTGATTCAGGATTCGTGCCCTTGCTTCTGTGGAATCGCTCTCTCGCCAAGGACTTCCTCGCTCTATGCTTAGGTATCGCGCTCTCGGCTGAGATTCTCTGACCCACTACAAAGGTATAGTGATTGAGTGTCCCGCCCGCCCGGCCCGTCTGATAAGGTCCGCCAGCCCGACCTGCCCGACCCGCCTGTTAGGGTCCGCTGGGCCGATTGCTTGGAAACCTGCCCGCCCGCCCGGCCCGCCCGTCATGGTCCGCCCGACCTGCTCGTTAGGGTCCGTTACCCGGCCCGCCCGTTAAGGTCCGCTGGGTCGATTTCTTCAGCGCCATTAGCCGCCCGCTTGAATGCCGTACCCGCCCGGCCCGCCCCTCAGGATCCCCTCGGCTTTCTGCTTGTCTTACTGGGCTGGGGTTTCCCCAGGATGGCTTTAAAAGGCCCCCCCAAAGGGCACGTTCATAAACGAAAAGTGCGGGAGTCGAGCGCTTTTTGTCTTCACGTTGCATGACACGCGGGCGATGAGGAGCGAACCGTTCTAACAGGAAGTCAATTGTTGCCATTTTGTGGTGTGTGTGTGTGTGCGGATCAGTTAACCAGCATACGTAAGCTGCTGGCATCGAATTTGCGCATTCCTAATGCAGCAAGGACTCGCAGCCGTCGCCGTCGCTGAGCCTCTCCGCTGTCAGGGTGATCAGGGATGAGGTCGACATCCTGACGGGAGCCGAATATTTGGCCTGGCTGCTTTCTGGAAAGGAAGGGCTCCTGCGGCACGAGACCGAGCGCAGTTATATACGCATAACTTGTGCCCTGTCTTGCGATTCGCCCCAGATTGGCTCAATGCACAGCACCTTGGAGCGTCCCCACCCCCGAGGAAGAGTGAGGGGGAGGAGGGTATCCTCCGACTGATGAACCATTCAGAACTAGATGGTTGAACGCTGTGCTTACGAAGTGGAGCTCTGAAACAAAACTGTCGCGCGGCACGGTAGTGGCGTTGCATGGCTGGCGATGCCTCTCGGGGGCTTCTTCGGGGCATCCGCGTGTATTTCCGGGGGGCGGTCTTTGATGCCTGGGGGCTGTGATTGCTGGGTCTGTCTGAAGGTATTTTGAACCAGGTGTCGTTGTCTGTCCTTGGGCCATCTTGGGTCGCTGGGGCGTTGTTCAGGACGTCCCAGAGGCTGTTCAACTTTCGACCGGAAGCAATTTGGGGTCTTGGGGCCCTTGCGGCCGTCTGGGGATGAGTAGTTAGCAGTTGTGCGTAGAACCGCGCCAACGCTTGTTCACACAGTTCATCCTCGACGGGTGCAGCTGCGAGCCTGCAACACAGTTTTTGTGATCGCGCCGATAAAGCAGTGCCATCGCGGGACCCGTACCCTTCTCGAGGTAATCTTCCATCGGCCGTTGCCCATTGGCATCTCATCAGGCAGCTCCTCGGGCGCGCCCCTTGCGTTCAGAATGGGCACTCGCAAGTCGGGCGCTGCTTCGTCGTCCCAAGACATAGTGAATCCTCGGCGAGTCGGCTCCCGATTTGATTCAGGCTTCGAGAGCGCCTTGGTGTGCACGTCTTGACACATGTACGAGTTCTTAAAGGGCAATCAGTGCATCCAAGAGTCGTGCCGCAAGCTGTCGCCTCCCTGCCGAGGTGCTCTCCCGCAGCACACTGGGAGGCCGTCCATCACGGCAGTTCCACCACTGCCCGATCATGCACCTCGACCTCCGGGCTCATCTACCCGTTTGTTTTGCTCTCCCCCTATCTGTCAGATTTTTCCTATGTATACACCAACATTCAGATGGATATGGCATCCGCGCGATGATTTATTACACAGTTTCAAGACTTGCGCTCCCAGCCCTGTTTGCCCTCCTCTCTGACCCTCCGCCCTTTTTCTCCGCATCCGCTCCCCGTCGAAGCGTTCGTGCTGCTGGCCATGGTGACGCTGTGCATCGGTGGCAGCGTGGCCATCTGCTGCTGCTGCGGGGTCCACAAGTCTAACGGCGGGGCGGACAAGGACGGACCCTTTGCTCCGCGCTCACCGTTTCGAGGTTCGCCGCGCCCCACCCTTGATTGGCAATGTTATTGTCACGCGCGGCCAGGGACTAGAGAGCGGTCTCGCAAACTTTTTCGTCGTTGCTAGGCAGGGGTTGTTTGCGCTGGCGGATGGATCTAACTAAACGGGGTCACCGTTGTAGCGCATTGGCCAGCATGCAAGAGAGGGAGGGGGGCAAGGCGAGGGCCACACAGGGGGGACGGCTTACATCCCTGGGTGAGCTGGTACGGCGCGGTCTTGGAAACACACAGTGCTATGTTATCATTTCGCATGTACCCAGGGCGCCCTGGGCCGAAACGTGCATCTATTGATATATGGTGAGATGTGTGGTCGCGACCATGGTTGATCGGGCTTGACAGTAATGCCGCGATGAGCGAAGCGCGAAGCGCACAGAGCATTGTGCGCATGTCACCCCGAGAGTGGGCCAGGACCTATACGATTGACAAGCGCACGCTGCGCTTCTGTCATTGGTAAGGGGCAGTGGACAGGAGAGGGGGCGATTTGAGAAGGGATCGGCCAGAGAGAGATGGAGGATGAGCCCAATCCCTGGAGGGGATGGACTTCGGAAACAGGGTTATTGTTCCCGCCCTCTCTCTTCCGCTCTCTATCGCCGCTACTCTTGCATGCTTCATCACGTCGATCTGTCTGTCACTGCGGCAATTTGGTGCCAAACCGGTCCCATTCGGCTGAACCAGTGCTTGACTTGACAAGCAATATCGTTTGCTCCGCCTTCTGCTGCCATTGGTCTGAATTTGTCGGTGTACCTGTGAAGGCCGTGCGAGCGGCGTGGCAGGTTAGCGAGGGTGCGCGGGCGAAACATGTGCTCCCAGCCGGCCGCGCAGCTCCTGGGTCGAGGGGGCGGGGGGCGTGTGCAAGCGGGCAGTCCACAAGCGCAGAGTGGCTGCGGCTGCCTGTGGCGCTCCAGGGAGGGCTTGGCTTTTGGCGCGTCTCGTCTTCGGCGGAAGCTGGCGGAAGGCCTCCCGGATCCAGCGGACGTAGAGTGAGGGTGTCTCCGTCGACGGAAGTTGGTGGAAGGCTGGCGGAAGGCAGCGGAGTCAAAAGTGGCACGGAAGCATTGTTGGATTCCGGGCTTCTGGAGTCGGGCAAGGACTTGGAAGTGCGCTGGCTGCGTGGTCTCGACGCGGCGGCGACCCTGGTGCTGGCGTTCAAGGTTGAGCGACGCCAGTGGCCCGGAATCGGCCGAGATCGAACGATCGGCGTAATGGGAGCGGCTCGCAGTAAGGTGGTGGTAGCAGCCGCCGACCTTCCAGAGACCCTTGCCCTGGAGAAATGCGCGCAGCTCGCACACGAACGCTCAGAACTTCTCCTTGCAGAAACCCGCGATCGTTCAAGGTTGAATCATCCATGTCAGAAACCCGCCTTGCCTAGAAGTGCGCTGGCCGTGCCCAGCAGCGTGTGTCCTGGAGATACTGTGGGGCCCAACCTCTGTTTCGACACTTGTGGATGCTGTTGCGGATTCGGGCGCCCGCGGGCGGCGCAGGATGCGTTCCCCTGTTGCAGCAGGTGCGGGTGCGGTTGCAGGCGCGGTTTCGGGTGCGGGTGCGGGTGCCCGCGGGCGGCCCGACATGTGTTCCCCAGTAGCGGGTGCGGGCGTGGGTGCGGATGCGGTTGCGGGTGCGGTTGCGGGTGAGGGTGCCCGCGGGCGGCCCAGCATGTGATCCCGGGATGCGGTTGTGGTTGCGGGCGCACGCGGGCGGCCCGACATGTGTTCCCCGGCTTGTCTTTTGACGTCAGTCAGTCGTTCAGTCTGTCAGTTAGCCACAGGCCAGCACGAAGTTACGCCCAGCCCAGCCGAGACAACCAGACCGAGTGTGGCCCGTACGTCCTCAGATTTCAAGGCTCCCCGCGCACTCCATCTTCTATCCCGCTCAACGTCGCGGGAGGCTTTGGCGCCAGCGACGGGCCGCCGCGCGGGACGACGCACCGCGTGTCCACAGAGCCCCCGCCGCCGGCCGCGCCGCCCCCGACCAGGCCGCTCTCCGCGCCGCGCCGCGCTGCGCTCTCCAGCAGGGGAGAGTGTGTGGGCCCTGGGAGGGGTGACGTGGGGAGGCAGGCTGGGGCGGTCCGAGGCTAGGCTTCTCGATGGCCCATGGTGCGCAGGACAGCTCGAAGTTGGCGTCGGTAGCGCTGGGGCCACTCGCGGCACCCAGGCGCACCGCGCTTCAGATACCGAACGGCTCGTGTGGACAGGCACGCGCTGGCGTTGACACACGTCCTCCAGGTCATCGAGGGTTTTTCAGATTGTTCGGTTGGCCTCTGAGAGAGGAGACGCAGGAGGAGGAGGAACAGGAGGAGGAACAGGAGGATGAGGTGTTGGTTTGTAGCTTTCCGATTGGGTGAGCAAGACAAGCTTGAGGACCAGTCATACTGTGGCTGTAGCATAGCAGTCAAGCCGAAGTTTGTTAGACACAGCTGGTTCGCACTGCTGTTTGCTTCAAGTTCTTTTCGTCTCCAGGGAAACACCTCCTACCACATTTTCATGGTAGCGGAGCCCGTGGTTTGTCCCACGGGTTCCAGTGCGCGCAGTTACCTCCACGAAGGAACCCCCCTTGTGGCATTGGCCGCAGAAAACAGCCGCAGCGGGACCAGCGGACCCTGGCGCAGCCGACCCAGGTTTGCATGCCCGGAATCCGAAAGTAATGGTACAACTTGAGCACGAACCGGTTTGCGCCCTTGCGAACTGCCGGTTATGAGAATGGGGTCATCAGGCATGCCACCACGGCGTCAAGGCAACCCACGAAGGCATGACGTTATTTGTCGAGCGCAGTGTGACACAGGGAACCAAGACTGTTGGCAACGATGAAGTTTTCACGGTGTTGCAGATCAGCTACAACATGAATGCTCTCCGGGCTTCAGTTATCAACCGCAATACGCGTTGCGAATACATGTTCAACCATTCGAGACAACATGTGAAGAAACAGCTCCACCATGAAGCGAACACCTAGGAGCATGTTGCCCATATCGCTGAGGCAATGCAGCGCGCAGAAGACGCCAGTGCAGGCAGAGGTGGAAACAGACCCGCGAGCGAACACAAGGCTGTTCAACAGTTTAGAACGCTCTCGTGTGACAGGACCAAATTCAGGGAATGGAGCGAACGGCTGTTCGATGCCCTCGCGCAAGTGAAGCACGGGCCTGGGGAACCCAAGTATAATTTGAGCAACAGAGTAGAAGCCATGGATAGGGCACTGCCCGATGACGAAGAGGACGATCACATAACGATCATGAACGGGAGGTTCTAACACTGAGCGAGTACACCAACGTGACGGACATCAAATGCAGATGACCAAAAAAGAAGACATGAGCTAGACGACGACGCCGACGACGACGACGACTATCCCAAGTTGGACGAGGACTTTTGGTATTTGTTTATTGACAACTTCAAGAAAACAGAGCCACGTGGGAAGCGTAGGGGTCTACGCGATGGAGGCGGCTCGGTGGCTCACCAGCAAGTTTGCAAGTGGCGCCCTGCGGCTGCCCGAGCTGCACTTTCGCACGATGCGAAGCTGGCCCTGCAGCCAGAAAACAAAAAAAGCAAAGAACATGGATGACGTGGCTCTGCAGCTTGAACAGTGGGGTGCGTTAGTAGAACCCTTGGGAAAGTATGGGTTTGCCTATTCGTCACCACAGCCATGCAGGGCTACAGCCTTGAGGGCCATGGCGACCCGCGCAGGTGATTGGTTCGATGCCTGGCAACAAGATTGCATCACAATTCCAGACTCGTTGAATCTCGACGCCTACCAGCAGCTCTTCGCTGAGCGCGAGAATTCGGCCAGGAATCAAGGCCAGACGCCGATGCGAAGAGCGCCGATGCAATGGATGCAACAGAGCACGAACACCGACGAGCGGGGGCACGGTGATGGGGGGGGCCCACCTTACCAAGTCGTCGAATTCAGCTCGGAGCGCGGTGGCATTACATGTAAGGGCTTCGCCCCCTGCCGCCGGCCCCCTGTCGACATTATGGGCCATGTCAGAGCCGTGCTGGAATTCCTTCGCGGCGCTGCGGAACAATGTCGGGAGCCCCCGCGAGGGCGATTGGTATGCGGCAGACTCAGGTTCAGAACGCATGGTTGAAGTCCGCATTGTTACTATTTAATTCCCTTTCGCGCCATGCATTGGAGCAGCGATTCGGGGCTGCTTGGGCAGCGTCGCGTGGCTTTGGTTGCCCTCTTGGGGCGCCTTTTGGACGCCTGTTGGGGCGGTTTGGCTGCCACTTGGGGCCCTCTTTCGCCTTCGCGAGGCTGCAGGCTCAAATCTGTGGTTCGTGGTCAAGCTTTGGACTTCTCTTTGTGCCATCATCAGGAGTTCCTGGGCCGTCTTGGGGCTCTCCTGGAAGCTTCCTGGGCCGTCTCGGGGCGGCCTTGGCCTCGACGGCGCGGGCGCCGTGCAATTTCTCGCAGGTCGCGGCCTCGAAGGCGAAAGTCCACGGTAATGCGCGAGGGATCGTGGCCTCGAAGGCGAGGCTGCAGTTGCAGAGGTTTCTTGCTTTGGGGACGCGAATGTTATATAATTTTCTCGCGCCCGTGGTTTCGAGGGCGCGAATATACGGTAAGTTGCAGGGTTTATCGCTTCGGGGGCGCGAAGTTCGCAAAACCTATTCTGGTTCATGGCTTCGAGGGCGCAATTATTGCACACTTTGGGGCGCGACTATGGTATAGTATATTGCGATTCGTGGCCTCGAGGGCGCGACTATTAAGCGATGTACGAGGTTGCGTAGCTTCGGGGGCGAGATTATTGCAATGTGTTCGAAGGGGTCGTGGTTTCGGATGCGCGAGCAACGCGTAATTCACGTTGGTTCATGGCCTCGTGGACGCGAATGCGTTGTAATTCGCATGGGTTCATAGTCTCGGGGGCGCGAATGTTGTAAACTTGCCACAGCTAACGGCGCGATCTCGCACTGCGACACGTCGACCCACCGCGCCTGGAACGCGCTGGGCGCGCCCTGGGGCGCGCGAGGATATGCGCTCTGGATTGTGAGCGCCGGGGCGTGTCCTGTCTCCGTCTGCTGAAATAAGTGCCTGGAATGCGTTGGACTGGAATGCGCGCTTGGAATGCGCTGGGCGCGCCCTGGGACGAGCGAAGACATGTGCGCTGAAATGCGAATGTCGCGGTGCATCCTGTCTCCGCCTGCTGGGCCGCGTGCTGGGGTGTCTGCTGCGTGCGCGCTGATCCAACGCATCCGTCTGCTGGAACGCGCGCCTGGGATGTGCTCGACGCGCCCTGGGATGAGCGAAGACATATATCTTGGAATGACAGCGCCGGGGTGTGTCCTCTCTCCGTCTGCGGCCCGCGTGCCGGGACGTCAGCTGTCTGCGCGCTGCTCCGACCATCTACGCTGGCGCGCGCGTCGATATGTCGAGGGCCGCCCCCGCCCCGCTGCCCCCCCCTCTCCCCCCGCCCCCCCTCCCCCCCCCCTCCCAGCTTATCCCGACCGACCGCGCCCCCCCCCCCCCCCGGCTTGTCCCGACCGGCCCGCCGCCCAGCCCCGCCCCCCCTGCCTTGCCCCGACCGGCCGCGCCCCCGCCCCCTCGTCCTTCGCGCCCACATCTTGGCTTATTCCGACCGACCGTGTCCCCTCCCCTCTGCTTGCCCCGTGCCTCCTCTGTTTTATCCCGACCGACCGCGCCCCCCTCCCCCCCCGGCCCCCACCCCGCCCCCTTCTGCACCCCCCCATCGCCCCCTTCCTTGCTTATTCCGATCGATCGTGCCCCCCCCTTCCTTCTGCCCCGCGCCGCCCCCGCCCCGCGGCCATCGCGCCGCGCGCCCCCTTGGCATGCCCCGGCCGACCGCCCCCCTTTCATTATTTTCCGCTCCCCCCCCCCCTCTCCTCCGCATGCCCCCCTCCCTCTCCCCTTCCCTGCCCCGCGCCCTGTCGCAGTTCCGCGCGCCCCCACCCCGCCCCCCCCGTCTCTCGCGAGCCCCCCACCCCCTGGCGCACCCCGCCCGACCGCCCCCCCGCCCCCCCGCCCTCCGCGCCCGCCCCCGGCTTATTCCGACCGACCGCGCCCCCCCCTCCCCCCCCGCTTGTTTCGCGCCCCCCTTCCCTTCTCTTATACCCGCCGGCCCCTCTCTCCCTCCCCCCCCCCCCCCCCCCCCCTCCCCTCGCCCCCGGTTTTCCGACCCGTGCCCCCCCTTCTCCTTGTCTCGCGCCCTCTCCCCGCCTCGCGGCCTTTTCTGCCCCCCTGCGAGCCGCCCCCCCGGCTTCTCCCGACCGACCGCGCCCCCGCCCCCTTGTCGCCCGCGCCCCGCCCCCCCCTACCCCCCCACGGCTAACCCCGCGCCCCCTCTCTGCCGCCCGCCTTTTGTTGAGAGAGTCCGAGCGTCTCTGCGTGATGCATTGTTCGTGATCGCGCCGAAATGTTCTCCTCACTTGCTTCTCTCTTTCTTATTTCTGATCATTCCATTTGCTCTGCTCAGGCGCGATCTCCCCCGCCTGGATATCCTCGCCAATCTTTTCTCTCGCGGGCCATTCAAACGCGCGAGCGTGGTTCTCTCTCGCCCAGGGTGACGTGCTGAGCTTGGGCCGATCGTATTTCAGTTTCTTCTGATTGGTCGTTGAAAGCTTCGCTTTTTTGTGTTAAAATATATTCTTATATTTTAGTTTCTAACATATTGTTCATGTGGAGAAAGGAGGGGGGGAGGGGGGGGGGGGGGGGGCGAGGCCCGGGGGGTAGCGCGGGGCGGGGGGGCGGGCGGGCAAGCCGAGTTGCGCCCAAACATCCCGCCGATTATTGGGCGCAGCTTTTCGGTGCCGTTTTGCGTTTCGCGCGCGCGCGTGTTTCGCGTGAACGCCCATGCGAATCGGTCGTCGTTGCTCGTTGCTGTTTCGCCGCTTCGTTGTCTCAGTGTTCCTGCCCCTAAAGGCCTTCTAAACGGAATGGGCAATATTGGCGCCGTCTGGGGCTGCCCCCGCAACTTAAGAAGCCCTCCGCAGCGTTCCCAGTGCTGGCTTTGATCGCCCATGTCAGGGTTTA